GTATATATTTGTGTAAATGTGTGTGTACTTTTTTATGTATAGTAAATCTCCCTTCTAAGGTCAAATTTACAAAAAAAGTTAGCATTACTTTATGTTAGACAAAGTGCCATTATCTTCAGCAGAGTTTCATATTTTCATAAGGACATTAAGTATAGGACCACGGGCCCCCTGATAATAATTAGAAAAAGGAACTTTAAAAGCCAGAGGACCAAATTTGGTCTGAGGCTGTCAGTCCCAACATGAAGTGATTAGTATGCAGTTAGGAAATCCTGTAGCTTAGATTCTCAATAATTTCTGGTAATCAGTATCTCAAAATAATTCATGGAGTTATCAGGTCCTTTCATTTATGAGAGAGAGGAATGACTCCTCATTTATCTTATGTCTTTTATGTTGGCAATTCCATCCTTAATTAAACAAGCATTGGCATTTTCATTATGAAAATGGTCTTCCTGGATTTATGGCTGAGTCCATTAATGTAGTGTTTCAAAACTGATTGGCATTAGCCTATAGAGTTACTTGTATACAAAAGCAACTTAAAAATTGATTTTGGAGTGTGTTGGTTTTAAAGATCATTTCAGACATCTGTTCCTCCTGTGTTGAGTCTACTGAATCCACATTAAGTTCTGGAGAACTAACGAATAAACACAGCACACTTCACTTCGTAAGAAGGTGGATACCTATGACCATTCTCTGTATAAGGGGCTCTATACCTCACACTTGCTCTCTCACTCGTTTTCTTCTATATCTTTCAGTATGAAATAATAATGATAATAGCAATTATATTTCTTAAGTGCTTACTGTTAGGCCACGTGTTAAATCCCATTTAGTATTCACAAGAGCCCTATGAAGATAGGCAGTATGATGCCCATTTTACAGATTGGAAGCTGAGACTTTTCCCGATTGATCACCTGATTCACCTCCTGATGCCCCTTGATTGATTCATTCTGATCGTTTCCCTACCAGCTCTAATCCATTCTGCATATCGCTTCGGGTCACATCCATGTGGTTTATAACATTCTTCAGAAACACCTTTGAAGACCCCACAATGCGTAGGGATAAAGCTCAAAGTTCAGTATACCTACAGGTTGGCCCCAAACTTTATAGCCCACAATCTCCTTACAAGAACGTGTACCTCAGACCTACCCTAAGGTGAACCTACTGTGTCCTTTCCCACTTGTCTCCCCTGCTCTGGCATTGGCAAATGCCTATGATTTGCAGGCACTGTGTTAGAATCCTAGGTATGCAGTTGTTGCTTTCAAAACTTTGTCCTCAGTGGCTAGACAGACCTGGACGTAAATGTCTTCTCCTTAACCTTTAGGTATCTAATCCCAGATTGGTTTAGAGCTCTTGTGCTTGGTGAAATTTTCCCTAACCATTTGAGGCAGAAGTGATTCCGCTGTCCTCTGAATGCAGCCTGGACTGACTGTACCAAGGATTTATCTTCAAGTTTTGATCTTCGTTTCATGTGTCTGGATCTTAACCCACTTCTAGGTTGTGGACTCCATAGGCAAAGTCTGTGGTTTTAATATATCTTTGATCTCTAAATTCTAATTTTTCAAAAGAGGATTGATTAATTTGTAAAAATCTATAAAATTTCATAAAGAAGCTTTGGCTTTGGACCACCTACTTTTAATATATTGCATTGTGGCTGAGACCTCATGTATTAAAGTATAAAAAACTGGGTTGGCACACAAATATGGTTTGTTTTTCTGGATTTTTTAAAACCCTAGTGCCAAGTCTTTTTTTTTTTAATTGGATTAATAATATTACTGTGACACCTTCCTCTTCATTAGTTATCAGCACAGGAAGAAAGCCTTTTGATTATAAGCCAGGCCTTAAAAAGACACTAATAAATAAAATATCTTGGGCTCCAGTCCTTCGAGTTATGGGATTTGTTTAGATTACCATAAAAGATAAATGGTGTGAGCAGAAAGAGTTCTGAATCAGGAGGTAGGAAAGCTATTCTAGTCTTGGCTCAAGTCACTTAATGGGGTGATCCTGACTTAGAAGCACTGTGAGCCCCAATTTCTTCACATGCCAGCTGAAGCTATCTGCATCACAGCAGACATAGTGGGGTTTTGACCCATCGAAGACTTTTATGGGTGCCTCTCCGTGTTGTGTTAGTTGATTGCATCTGTGTATTTATTTATATATTGTACTAGTTTGCTAGGGCTGCTGTAACAAAACAGCTGCAGACTGGGAGGCTTCAACAACAGAAATTTATTTTCTGACGATTCTGGAGGCTAGAAATCCAAGGTCAAGGTGTTGGCACATTTGGTTTCTTCTGGCCTCTCTCCTTGACTTGCAGGTGCCACCAGCTCTCTGTGTCCTCACATGGTCTTTCTTGTGTGTGTGCTTCCCTGGCGTCTCTCTGTGTGTCCGTATTTCCTCTTCTTACAGGGACACCAGTCAGATCGGATTAGGGCCCACTCTATCAACCTCATTTTAACTTCATCACCTCTTTAAGGGCCCTGTCTCCAAATATAGTCACATTCTGAGGTACTGGGAGTTAGGGCTTCAACATATAATTTTGGGGAGATACAATTCAGCCTATAACATCTATTTAAAATAACATTCATTTGTTTTAAATTATGTATAGTGAGACTAGTATAAAGAAGAATCCAAAAATAGCCTTCCACCTACATAATGCCTATTATTAAAAAGGGGAGGGTGTAAGTACACGAAAAGGTAATTCAAACTGTATTGAGGAATACAAAGGGAAAAATAGTCCTTTCCTAACCCCCTCCTTATACATGAAGGCAACTTCTTTCAATATGTTTACACCCATGTTTACTAAACAGAGACCAGGTGCATTTCTTTTCATGTCTTAATGTATTATTACAGAATACGGATCTCTCTGTATCTGCATGTGCTCTGTATTGGTCTTCTTTTAAATGGCTACGTAGTATTCCATTGTGTATGACCAGATTTTAATTTAACTGGTCTCCTATTAATGGGCATTTAGGTTGTTTCTAGGTCCCTTCCTGCCCTTCCCTTCAATTACAAACAATGGAGTTGGATTCCTTTTAAAAACTCATGATGGAAAGAATAGTGAAGACCCACCTAACAAAAATAACTAGCCCCCGATTTTGGTGAAGACAGCCTCTGTTTTTCACCTTCCTGTTTATTGGTCCTTACGAGAGTTGTTGTGAAAGGTGTTTCAGTCTTTCTTAGCGGAGGGTAAGTACCTGACCATCTGCCAGTACCTCTCCTTCCTGCCTAATGTGGAAGGAGGGGCTTCCCTTGGTGACCTCAGGTCATCTCTATGCAGCAGTCCCTCCTCCTCAGGAGGAAAGACTCTCCAAGTCATTAACAGGCATCAACTATTTTTAGTTAAGTAAAACAGTTTTTCTTGTAAGAATTGCTGTTTCTGTGCCCACGACGGCACATGAATCCTTTCTGGCTGCTTCCATCCTTTGGAGAGGGGCCAGTTTTCTAATGGAATGTAAGCAGTCTGACTGCTCATCAAGATTTACAGCTGAGACCGGGGTGCCCGGGGCTCACTGGCTTTGCAGACCCTCTGAGCTAACAGGGCAGATCTGAGATGAAGCGCGGTGCAGAGGCCCCGTCCTGTTCTCAGGCCTCCCTCCTTCCCCAGGTCCGGCTCTTAGCCACAGGTACCTTCTGGCATTATTTTATAAGCTGTGCCGCGGTGTAGATGTTCTTTTCTGAAGAACTCCTTTCATTTCTGACTCATTTCAGGAAATGAGGCAGTCTATCAGAGGTGTTCTTCATTTCCAGACCCCCTGGAGAGTTCGTTTTCTCCAGGGATTTCTAACCACATGTGGGCAGTGCTTTATTTACCCAGATGTGAGAAATAGCAGTAATGAACAGTCCTCTTCTAAAGCAACCTTCACTTCCCTGCAGAATCCAGCGTGAAGGCCCAGAGGTAACTTATGTTGTTATTAATGCAAATATTTCTGAGGCTTTGGTTTCGTGATGCTTGTGGACATGCTGTGTGTATGGGCTTTGGTGCAGGAAAAATATAATTTAGCAGCCGATTTAAGAGGTAGTCTGGAGTGTTTCTAATTACCGTTTGTTTAGTTCACCATTGCCTAATAAGTGAGTTTAAGTAACCTTGGGGGTAGGGAATGTAATGTTCATATTACAGTCAACCATGCAAATCAAATTCTAACTAAGTATTGCAGAGAACACACCATGGAGTTATTTTATAGACGTAGTCTATTGAATTTTAAATTTAGAACTGAGAGCATTTTGGAATGGGCATTTTCTACCTGTCATACATCAAGATGAGTTGTGCACATGTCCAAACTCAACCCTACTGTGTGGTACAATCCCATTTAAAATCCCTCAGTGGCCTTTGGCATTCAGTTCTCTTTTTAATTTGACGTAAGAATAAGAGAGGGAGGAACTTAAGGGCTTCTCTTTCCTTCCTTTTCCCATCCTTCACTCGCCATAATAGGAAACTGAGTATTAAGGGGGCCTGAAATAGTCGTTCTCAACCTTGGCTACACCTTGGAATCAGCCTGGAAACTTTAAAAAATACTGATGCCTGGTTCCCACCCCTAGAGATTCTTGTCTGGAATGCAACCTGCCCTGGGATTTTTTTAAAAGCTCCCCAGGGGATGTTATTGTGCACTAAGGGTTGAGAACCACAGACTTGAGAAATCATCTCATCCAGGGGTTCTCAGCCTTGGCTGCAGATGAGCATCACCAGGAAAGCTTTTGAAAGAAACACCGATGCCCCACCAATGGAAACCACATTTCTAGGGGAGGGACCCAGTATTTTTAGAAAGCTCCCAGATTATTCTGATGCACAGCAAGGGTTAAGGTCAACTGACATAATCTAGCCACCCCGTATCATAGATGAGGAAAAATGAGAACTAGAAAGGTCAAATGGCTTGCTCACGGTCAGATCCTAGTTGTTGCAGAAGCAGTTGGGGATTCAGGTCTGCTGCCTCCAACCGGTCTGTCTGCTGCCTAATACCACCCCCCTTATATTTGTCTGTTGTATTTATTGATGCCTCCTCGTCCCTCAGGTGATGATCCTGCCTCCAAGAGGCCTTTTCTGACTCCTCCCACTCTCCTCCCATCCAGTCAGGGTAAGATGCCCTTCCTTTATATTTGAACAGCACCCTTACTTACCTTTCCCTTGGGCTGTCAGCTCCAGGAGGACAGGGCCATGTCTCCCTTGTCCTGTCTGTAACTCTGTAACTTGCTGACATGTAGTAGGGTTCCAGATAATATTTGTTGAATTGAAGTTCCCTAACTTTTTATTCATCAATTAGTCTACATGCATTGCCAAAAATAATCCATTCCTATATGCCAGCTTCTGAAAATAGCTTCTGAAAGCAAACGTTACTTCTTAATCTGTCTACAACCCACTGTACTGTGGGGTCAAGGTCCCATAGACAAGGATTTCCCATCCCTCCCTTCCAGGAGAGAGATTTTTTGGTAAAAAAAAATTTTTGAGGATTTTGATGACAAAATAGTGAAACAAGAGTTTAGTGACCTTGGGGCCGGCCCCGTGGCTTAGTGGTTAGGTGCGCGCGCTCTGCTGCTGGCGGCCCAGGTTCGGATCCTGGGCGCGCACCGACGCACCGCTTCTCCAGCCACGCTGAGGCCGCGTCCCACATACAGCAACTAGAAGGATGTGCAGCTATGACATACAACTATCTACTGGGGCTTTGGGGGGAGAATAAATAAATAAATAAAATCTTAAAAAAAAAAAAAAAAGAGTTTAGTGACCTTACATGTTGCTCAAGGTATTTCTAACATCCAGGGATTTTTGAATGTCGTACTTACAAGTGTGTATGGCATAAGGGAAGGGAGCATGTGCATATTACCTTAAGACAAAAAGTTGGCTCAAGAAAATAATGCTATTTTATGGAAATACGTTTTAAGGACTAAATTATTTGCTTTATCATACTGCATATGTAATTCTGAACAGCCACATTCCATGAGCAACAGCTGAATTAAATCCTTTGGCGTCTCTGGATTAATATGTTAATGTCTTTTCAACTGATTAAGAAAACACTATCAATCTTCTGTCATCTCAGTTTACTTAAGGTCATGCTTGGCCAGTGTCTTATTTTTATTTGATAAGTATTTCCAGATTCGCAGTGTTTATGTTTACTCTTGTAGCTGTAGCAGAGATTTGTCTCAGAAAGCAGGGTGCAGCCAGTATCTCTTGAGCTTACCCGTGGCCCCGAGGCTGCACGTGGGGGAACGGGAAGTAGCTGTTTTTTGTTTGGAGAATTCAAGAGTTCAAAGCTTTTGGAGTCAAGACTGCAAACTAGGCTGAGTTGTAGGGTAGATGTTAAGATGATGTTAAGATGTTGCAGACAGGAGAGAAGAATGACCAGAAAGTGTGACATCATTTTGAAGTCTTAATGAGACTTCATTGTTTCATGCTTTAAAATTGGGAAAGTGGTGGGGTGGCAGCGTGTAAGGGAAGCCAGTGTATATAGGGGAAATCTTCCTAAAACAAATATTCTTAAAAATTTCAGGAGACAGCTAAGTCATTTAGCTGGAGGTAAATGTAAAACATTTTTATATTAAAATAATTTTGATTATATTGTGAAATATAAAGTGCAATGTTTGCGTGACCTTTTTTTTGAGATAAAATATGAAATTTTAAAGAACCACCTCTGTCCAGTCTCTCCTCTGTGCTATTTGGATGAAAAATTAACAAACATACAAGTTTTTGCTAAGTAACCAACTTCTATTATACTAATTTCAGAGGCTCAGCAATACAGTCTGGAAGAGAAAAGAAAGGGAAGGAGAGAAAGGAGGGATTTATTAAATATGTAACACACAGTATTCAGTGTTTTAACACATGTTGTACTGTCGAATCTTGGTAACTGCTCTGCAAATTAGGACTTATTTACACCAGCTTTTACATGTGAGGAGGTATATATGCACCTGTCCACTAGGGAGCAGAGCTCAAATTTGAATCCAGGTCTGTCAGTTTCCAAAGTCCTTGTATTTTTCCACCCAACATGGCCTCTTATGTCATGAGAGTGGAGAAGTTTCCACAAGAGACTTGTTATTGACTATGAGTATTTACCATACTGGTAGAAGTGAGCTGACTTTAGCTTCTCTTAGAGTTGTTATTTAACACCAAAAGTTAACATTTATAAACTTCTATGACACACTTAAAAGCATTTTCTCATAATGGTCTGTAAAGTTCTGACTTGAAAATGATGTGTTGTTATTGCAGTGACCCTCAGAGGGTTCCAGTGTATTCATTGTCATGATTTACAAGGGAAGAAAGGAACAGTCAGCAATGGCCATTTTTGGTCAAAAGACACCGTATCAGGTAGAATTTCGTGATCTGTCTCTCAGACATCACGCATTTGACTTGGGGGAGGGAGCAGAGCAAAATGGTTGATAATTTGCACTTTGCCATGTGATTCCTGAGTTTGAGAATCCTGTCTCTATTACCCCCTGGCTGTGTCATCTCAGGCAGGCCACCTGACCTCTTTGTGCCTTAGTTTCCTTTTCAGTAAGATGGGAACAATAATAACTTGATTGTTCTTTTGAGAATTAAATAACATAAGGCATATAAAGAACTTAGAACATTGTATGATGCAAAGTTTGTGCTCAGTCAATGTTTAGCTATTCTTGGTGGATAAAAGCCGGATGCTACATGGCCCAGTGATCCCACCCCTAAGTATTGACCTGAGAGAAATGACAACCTGGGTCCACATAAGACCTTTTAGGAAAAGTCCATAGACGTTCATTCATAATAGCTAAAACCTGGATACAACTCAAATGTCCATCAACTGGTGAATGGATAAAGTGTGGTACATCCATACAATGGAATACTGTTCAGTGGCAAAAGGAAAAAATTACTGATTCAGGCAACAACATAGATAAATCTAAAAAGCATTATGCTAAATGAAAGAAGCCAGACACAAAAGGCTACATACTACTTGGTTCCATTTATATGACATTCTGAAAAGGCAAAACTATAGAGACGAAAATCGGATCATTGCTTGCCAAGGACTAGAAGTGAGTGGAGGAGATTGACTGCAGAGGGGCAAGAGGAAACTTTCTGGGGTGATGGAAATACTCTATATCTTCATTGTGGTGGAGGTGACATGATTGTATACGTTTGTCAAAACGCATCAGGCTTAAAAAGGGTAAATTTTTGCTGTATATAAGTTAAACCTCAATAAACTTGATTTTAAAAAAAAGTCAGATGCTGCAATATGAACAAAGAATAGTGGGAGAAAAAGGGGTTAGAAATGATCAATAATCCGCAGTTTCAGCAACTGCAGCTGTTCTGCAGTTTCAGTGACTGTATAAGATGGGAGGAATGATTTCATTAATTTTCCTCTCACAGGCTGTGAGTTAGAAAAATGTAGAAACCTATAGAGTAGTTGTGTCCTGCCCTAACATATCTGCTTCTCTTTGCTGTGAGCACTGGTCTGCTTCCTCATTTTTTAAGCCTGCCCATTGGAGCTGTTTCTATTTCGCAGGCACAGGGATCTCCTGGGTTGCTTCCTGGGAGAATCCTGAGGGAGGGCTTGCCATGTGGTGAGGCATTCACGGGAACAGAGTGTTGGTGTTCTAGATGAACTGAGAGTTACTATTCCAGAAACGAAGTAGTTCGAGTACACTTATGGGTAAGGAATGTTATCTCAGAGCATTGTTCATTCATCAGGAGTCGCAGAGGCCCTTGGCACTTTCTCGTGAAACACATGCTTATCTCAGCAGCACTGAGCACACTGGACCACTCCCTCCTTCCTGAAATTCTTTCTTTACTTGGCTTCTGTGACGCTACTTCATCTTGATTCTGCTCACAACTCACTTGCTTTTTTCTCAGGCTCCCCTGCTGGGTCCTTCCCTTCCTATTCCTGGCCTCTAAACTTTGGAGTGCTGAGAGCTTTGTTCTCTGACCTCTTCCCCATCTCAACTCACTCCTAAGGTCATCATTCGTCTCCAGGGCCTTACATACCATCTCTATGTCGATGACTTCTGCATACTTATCTCCAGTCCCTGTCTGTCCCTTGCTTCTCAGCTGCCTGTTTACCTCTCCACTTGGTCGTCTAATAGACGTCTCAGATGTAACATGTCCAAAACCAACTTCTTGATTTGTTTTCTAAAACCTACCTAGACTTCTTCTCTTCTTCCTCATCTCAGCGCTGACTCCACCCAGTTGCTCAAGCCAAAAACCTGAAGTCATCCTTGATTCCTGCCTTTCACTCACACCTCATATTCCATTAATTAGCATCCACCCCAAATCCAGGCACTCCTGATCTCCCAGCCCCACACCTAAATCCAAGCCCAGGCCACCACCAAGTCTTGCTGGGGCTTCTGTGGTCGCTTCCTAAGCCAACCTCCTGTCTCCACTCGTGTACCTCGTGGTCTGAGTTGACACAACAGCCAAGGTAATTCTTCTGTTTTGTGCTTTTATACTACCTGCAGTGGCTTCTCTACAAACAGTATCAAGTCCAAACTCTTAGCCGTGTTGTACTGTAAGGCTCCTTCTACCTCTCTGTCCCCATCTCTTCCCACTCTGCCTGTCTCTCAAGGTGCTCCAGCCACACCGGGCCTCTCAGTGTCTCTTGACACGCTGCCCTCCTGCCTGGAACACTGTTCTCATCCTCCTCTCGTCTCCTTTCACCTCCCAGTCCCTTCCTGTCTAGGATTCTTGCTCCTGTGCTTCATTCAGTTCTCCCTCAAATGCCGCCCCCTCAGATCTGGCATCTCTGACTCACTGACCAAAAATATCACTGTTACTCTCTATCCCCTTAACCTGCTTCATTTGACTTCAAAGCATTTATCTCCACCTGAAATTAGTATATGTGTATTTGTTTATTGCCTCTGTGCCCCGGTAGATCATAAGCTCCATAAAGACGTTGTTCTGGTGCTCGATAAGTATTTTTTGAATGATTGAAGGAATAAGTGAATTTATGCTCTAGTACCCGTATATTAAAAATTAAAGAACCAGGGCCGGCCCCGTGGCTTAGCGGTTAAGTACGCGTGCTCAGCTACTGGCAGCCCAGGTTCGGATCCTGGGCGTGCACCGACGCACCACTTGTCCCGCCATGCTGGGGCCGCGTCCCACATACAGCAACTAGAAGGATGTGCA